GAACTTCAGCTAGGGTTACAGAACAAAGACAATGGTTTATTAAATACAGAGTGGAGAGTTGGGCAGGTGGACATCCAACTTTCACTCTGTAGATTTTTTTTGTATTACTTGAATGTTTCTGGAAAGGAAGAGTTCAAACATTAACTCTTTCCTAGAGTCAAGATCAACATAGTGAATTTATGGGCTGTAACTCAATTACACGAGGCAGAGTCTGAGTCCTGGTGCTACTGACATTTCAGTAATCCTACTGCAGGATGCCCATCAGCATCCCCTGCCTCTACCACCTAAGTGCTAGAGGAACCGTCTCTCAGTTGTGACAACCAGGTATCTCTAGACACTGACAAATTACGAACAAGTGGCATTCAGAAAGAAATTTAATTACTTGCTGGCACTTTAGATTTTTGCACATTCTGTGGCTGAGTATTGTAATTACTATTGGCATTTGATGACCAGTGGTAGCTGGGTGTAAATGACCACTCATTTTCTGCCTAAAAGTGTAAACACGCTCCCACAAAAAGAAACTGGGGTTTAAATCAAAGGCAGAAAACTCCTCTTACACACACACTCTTTTGAGAATGAGTAAATTCTTTGACATACTATATATAGTTGCATTTAACCTAATATTGCTCTGGAATCCCAGACAAATTAAGACAAGAAAAATAGGTAAGATTAAACATTGGAAGAAACAATTGTTCTTGTGACTTAATTCCAACAAAATCTATTAACTAAAATTTTTTCTTTTTTTTTTTGTTTTGATTTGTGGTATTGGGGTTTAACTCAGGACCTCAAATTTGCTTGGCTGACAATCTACCACTTGAGTCCATGGCATCAGCACAACCTGGTTATTTTGGAAATGAAGTCTGACTTAATTTTCTGCCCAGATTGACTTCAAACTGTGGTCCTCTAACATGTCAGCCTTCTGAGTAACTAGGCCTAGACTATTAATGTACCATGTGACAAGGCACATTCTCACCATGGGTTTCATAAGAATAAAATTTACTCAGACAGATCCCGTACCAGCAATCAATCCTTCTTGACTACTTTTGAGAGGGAAAATAATAAACAAATTTAAAATTGGTTTGCACTTTAAAAATTAATGATAAATTAGCCTGGTACCGGTGGCTCATGCCTGTAATACTAACATAGCTAACTAAAGAGGCTAAAATCTGATGAAGCCCGATTTAGCAGGGAAGTCTTTGAAACATTATCTCTAACCACCCAAAAGCCAGTAGTAGAGCTGTTGCTCCAGCGATAGAGTACTAACCTTGAGGGGGGTGGGGTGGGGAAGGAAAGCTCAGGGATAGCACCCAGGTCTTGAGTTTGAGCCCCTGGACTGACACACACAAAAAGTTAATTATGGTAACAAAACATCTTCACACAATCTATAATTTTAAGTGATTTATTTCAATAGATTAGAAATATTTTTTTCAGAAAACTTCTTAGATTCATTTAAAGTTAGCTTATGCAAACACACTGAAGATCACACATTCACATTTTCATATTAAAAGGAAAAGAGAGGAACCAAGTTGCACATCACTCCAGGAGGTCATAGTGCAATTGAGTGCTTCATCATTAGAGTACCTCAAGTTAACTGTGATAAAGAATAAAAATGGCTTGTGTTTCAGTAAAACACATTGGGTACTTTATCCCTACTGGTTTTGCTCTCCTTTAGATTATATTGTGAACCAGATTCCCCTTCCCTTGCAATATACTTTGGTAGGCTGATAAACAACAAATGTCAACAATTAAGGTGTTCAAACACTTTGAGAGTTTAGTGACTTACCAGCTATTTTATCTATTATATTAATAATTACAAGACTATTTTGTGAGCAGTTCTAGTAGGTGGCTTTTTTGGAGGAAACAGTATTTGCTACCTTTTATGCAAAACAGTTCCTATTTGTGATTTCTTCATTTTTCTATTAAGAAATCAAAAGTTCCATCCCAAAGCACACGCTCTGTATTCTCATAACCCCACCACTGCTTTGCAGTCTGAATAACTAGAATCAAGATTTAAATTCTGCTAATAAGCCTCAAGGACTACTTAACCCTATCATTTGAGCTTCAACACCATTTATGTCTACCTGTCTACAGTGGAACACATGACCTTTATAAAGAATGTGAACACAGCATCCTAACTCAAACAAATAACAGAAGCTTCCAATACTTTTAGAGAAGCAATATTCCCAAACTTTGCTTCTATCAAGAAAAATAGTTTAGTCTTTTATATACTTACAGGCTGTTATCACTTTCTTGCCATAGTTATTTTCAAGTAAACAGTAACTGGTAAGTTAAGTGATACCTTATCCATAAGAACAAACTAAATTTCATTTTTGGCCGCCAAAGGCATCATTCCAAGATTTCAGTAGCTCTAATAAAATAAGCTCCAACAAATTCTACTCTTCTAGGGATTTTGTAAAGGGCTTTTTCATTACAACTATAACAAAATAAAAATGAACTGAGATGAATGAATGCTCTTCAAAGTTATTTTTTCAGAGTGCTTATCTAATGGTTGATTTGAGTGGATTTACTTTATATCTCTTGCCCGGAAAGAAAAGAACACAGGGACAGTGTTTACTTGAAAAAGACCTCAAGAACCAAGGGCGACAGCCTCAAATACCCAGAGATATCAGTACAGACTACCTTAGACTTGCTGGTAGAGATAGAGTCAGCATACTCCTGAGGTAAAGGGGCAAATGATCACTGTCATACTCAATGCTCTAAAAATTGGTCTTCAAACTGCTAAGGCACTGATCAAATTTCTCCAGATTACAACTAGAGATGCAGGTGAAAGAAAATTGCTTTCAGTAAGTGGAAGGGTTTTAAGCACAGATCTTTTTCTTTAGAACCCTCTAAATAGAAAAGAGTCTCTTTAGACACAAGCCATTTTTTAGGGGAGGAAAACTAAAGGTACTTAAATCATTTTGAGAAGGTTTACATGGAAAGAAATTAAGTCACCAATGGAATTTAATAACTGTAAAATCATAAAAAGTTTGAAAGAAATTATAAAAGAAAAAAGCAAACTCCTAGAAGGTCACTAAAAGAAGCCAAACAAACCTCATCACTTGCTTGGTATCAGGCAACAGTAGTACTATTCTACCAAATACAGTCAGTATTTATCTTTCAAAAAGGGATCCAATTAGAAGCATGTGAGGCAAAAGACTTCTTTTTATTCAAGATTATCTTATATTAAGTAACACTGATATCCCCTGTTGGCATAAGATACATGGTGGTTTAAATAAATACTAGTTTTAAAGGAATATGTCTCAAAACCAGGAAGGTATCAACAGTCAATCTATAGTCTTAAAAAGCCAATGGGTTAAATCTACTATTAGTATTGATTTCGAAATAGAATGATGCTGTTCAATTTTATTTTCAGTAATAAATGTATATAGCTTACAGATTTAACCTTAGAAGGGGATAACACTTATGCTAAAGTCATTAGTAAAGTAAATGCTAGTAATTCTGAGACTGGCTCATCTCAGAGGGCTGAATTTCAAGTAACATAGATATGCTAGACTGTAAACATTTCTCCCAGTCTTTTTTCTTCTATAGTAATAGCGCTTCTTGTGCTCTTTTGTAAATCTTCTAGAAGATTGAAAAGCCATTTATAAAACTGTTGCAACTATAAGCACCCCGATTCTGGACATAAAACCTAATATTAACACTCTATTCAGAAGGTTGTGCAATAGTTGTATAGAATTTTTCACACAGGAAAAAGTTGTCCTTGAAGCACATGCTGAGAGAGAATTAAAAAAAATCCACTCAAGATTGTTTGGATCCCTTTTTGAATGCTTAAGCAGCATTTATAAACTGAAGAAAATGGAAAAGGAAGATGTGCTTGATCAATTCAATTCTTGTAACTTCGAGGTTATAATGAAAGATATTCTGAAAAATAAAACCTGAAAACAGAGGGGGTATGAAACAAAGCAGTGCTTTAGGAAGATCATTACGTAGTTTATTTTGTATGCACACTTACCACACCAGCATATGACATGCTAATCAATATGCTCATAAACTAGCTATTTAAATTACAACTAAATTCTGAGTAATTTCCTCTTACCTAGGAAATTTTGAACTTCTGGGTCACTAATTTTCAGCTTAAGGCAGAAAAAGATTTATCTTTCAAGTAGTAAGCTACTGAAAATATTTAATATAATTTGGTGACTTACATTTTGTGAATTATAGCGTAAAAAAAAACCCTTACATACACTAATTCATTTCTCACTGGTTTCAATTTGTTTCAAATGATGAAATAATCTTAGAATGTAATAGCTAATCTTTTGAATAAGCAACAATGTTTATAACTTGAAAATGTCAAACACATCTTCCATCTTAGTGCTTGCTCTTTGGCAAAACTGTGTGATGTCACCTCTCACTTTCAGTTACCTATCTCTATAGATATGGTTAACTTAAAATGTATCTACACCTTAGCTTATTCATGACAAAAAAAATCCACAGGGTTCTAATTCACAATATTTTATAAAAAGTATATATACTGTCAAAACATTATTTCTAAAAATAATAATCAAATTAAGGAACTTTTAAAAATGTAAAACAAAAGAAAGATGTACAAGGTCTACACAGTAATACTGCTGGCTATGCAGATGGTGTCTTTCTATGTGTACCCAACATGGGTTAAGCTTAGATCACTGACTGAAAAATCATTCAGCATAGGCAACATTTACCCTCTCCAGCCTATGTCACTAAAACCTGGAAACAGTGTATTTCTAATTGTTATACGAGAAACACATTTGAACTCTTTAAACCAAAAATACAGAAAGTTCTCATGTTTTTCTTTGGACACAGTTTCAGCTAATTATTGTATATGCAGTATCTTCTACTTAAGTTTAATGGACTTGAGGCTAAAATACTTGCAGTTTTTAAAAAAGTATGCAAATTTCATGTGAGACTGAAAATAACACAAGTCTATTAGCAGGTATTAGTCAAAAAGCATTCTTACTCTGAGCCATTAGTAAAATTTATGATGCCTTACAAATGTGTAACATTCAACATAGAATCTTTATTCAAGAGTTATTTCTTGTTAAAAAATCCCAAGGTATCTCACCTTCAAGACTTCTTAAGATCAATACTTATTTTAGAAATTAAAATGCACTATTGCATAGACTAACTCTCTCAAAATGGCTTGGTCAATTACAGAAAAATAAGGTTTATGTCAGAGACCTATAGTAAGCTTTCAGAAAAATGGTGAGTTACATAAGGAGGAAAGGGCTAAAATTCCTAGAACCTCAAATTCAGCCTTTATCCTTATGATTATTTTGTCTTAAGGTAAAAGACATATATGAAGTATCTTTTAAACAAATAGGTCTTGACTTTCATACTTAACAAAAATGAATAAAAAAATAACTCTGGCATTATGCACAATAAACACTGTAAAAGAAAGTATCCTGGCAAAATATTAGTATCACCCTTGATGTTAAAAAAAAAAAACTGACTAAAAGAGATAATTCGATTAACTTGAAAAAAATCTAGTTATTCTAAGATCTCAGGAAACTTTAGTTTGGGATTATAGTTTTCTATTAAGCAGATCTATGGCTGAACAATGACTTCATAAATGAAACTAAGCATTAACCTTAGTTAGAAGCAACCATGTGTTCTGGAGCCTACTTAAAAATACTCTGGCATATGAACACTCAGCTTTTGTGGAAATAATGTTCCCTACAAGGTACTAATTTCCAAAGTTTACAGTTTAAAAAGATCTTCCCTCATTCAACACAAAACCAACAAGCCCCTTATCCCAACCAAACCCTGATAACTCACATGACTTACTAACATTTCCCATTTCTATACTCTTGCAGTGCGAAAACAAAGGAGAGTGCACACACTATAAGTGGGCTGCTGGTATAGTCCCTACGAAATTAAATGTGTCAGCTGCAGTTCAAAACCAGCTCCTCATATAATCCCTAAGAAATATGTTTTTCCTTTTTAAAGTGTATCTAAAAAGGTGGTTCCCCCTCCAAAATTATTACAAAATTAAAAGAAATGCAACTTAGCTACAATCTATTCCAAGCACAGCACCGCCAGAAGATTCACACACACTATTTGGTGTTTCATGTTGGTTTTCCTTTCATTCTTTTAAGGCAGTGGTTTCCACAAGTCAGTTTGAGTTAAGAAGCATGGTTTATGGCAGTTTTTTTTTTTTTTTTTGCAACTCCAAATTGTTCTCTGGGAATATTTCACTTCATTCCCTGAAATTAGTGCTTTTTTGGTTCAGAACTCCAAAGGCTGATGCAGCTCAGGGCTCTTCCTGGCACAGGATGGTTTGCAGCTGGCGCTGTTTCCTCAGGTCCTAATGGTTTACCTTCACTTTCTCTTAGGCTTTTACTCGAAAGTCATCAAGTTCGTAGGAACCTAAAAAAATTAACCAATTACAAAGTGCATTAAAAACCTTCCCTTGTCATTTAGGCAAGCCCAAATCTTTTAGACTTGAATATTACTCAAGAGGAATTTCAGTATTTACAATTAATAAGACATATTAATAGAACATTTTTAAAGAGAAAATTACTGAGATAAGATAATAAACTCTTTCAAGTAAACTGATATGTGGACAGGAAGAAAGGGCAATGTGTATAAGAATCACAAGGAAGTGCTATAGGCACATTTTGAAAACAACATAGATGATTAGTATAACAAATATTAAGGACTTCTTTGCAGAACCATTTTGGAAGTAAGTCTGAAGGAGCAAATTTCATTATTAAATTCTGATCTAACACTTTGTGACTCAGAAAAAAACAACACATAATAGGTTGTACTGAACTTAATTTGATTAATTTTAAGACTGAAATTCTAGAGTAACCTCTGAAATATTTTCTATTTTAAAAAAGTACTTGAATTTTCTAGTTAAAGGACTAAAGTCAGTTTCATCCTAAAAGAAAACATTCTCAATTCTTTTTTTTTATTTTTTTAAAATTTATTTATTTATTTTTTATTTGTGAACATACTGTACAGAGGGGTTACAATTACATGGGCAGGATAATGCGTACATTTCTTACCAAGCATTGCAGCCTCCTCCTTTGGTTTACCCTTCACATCCCTTCCCAGCCTCCCCCCTCCCCCCCAATCCCAACCTTCTCCTCCCCCCCCTTCCTCCCCCCCAACCAACGTTGTAAAGCTCGTTTTGGACACGACAACTTATACTTCTCGTTGTTGCATCAGGTCCACCTGTATCCTTAAACAACTGTTTTTTCCCCCTCTCCTCCACAAGTTATACTGACATCAAATATAGTGAAAGCAGGGGTTATACTGTGGGGGAGGGACATACAAAGCAACAAAGAGATAGTCTTATAAATGCGTTAGAAACACATGCATGAAAGAAAAAACATTAAAATACATGTCTAAGGGTTCATTTTCCTGACATCACATTATCTGACCTTTTCCGCTTGACTCATACATATACTAGATATTGCAAATAAGGGAAACCATGGAACATTCTCAATTCTGAAAGCAGGTTTCCAAAGTTGTGTTAGCAGAGCTATTCAGAAGACACTGGTCTGCCTTTTTTTTTGGTTGCTGGCTTGAGCTTTTTTGCAAAGTCCTTGAGCTTTTTTACTCAAAGCTAGCTCTTTACCACTTTGAGCCACAGTACCATTTCTGGTTTTCTGGTGGTGAATTGGAGATAATATGGCATTTCTTGCCCCGCTGTCTTCAAACCTCCAATCCTCAGATCTCAGCCTCTGAGTAACTAGGATTACAGGTATAAGCCACCAGCACTTGGTTTACCTCATTCTTTAATCTGGCTACAGCTCTCACATACCAGCAGTCTTTTTGAAACTTGTTACATTCAAAACCAGGAGCACTTTTATGTTAGCTTCTGAATAAAAAAATCCCATTGGGAGCCAGGCACCAGGGGCCTTTAATACCAGCTACTCAGGAATTTGAGATCTGAGGATCAAGATTTGAAGCAAGACTGGGCAGGAAAGTTTGTGAGATTCTTATCTCCAACAACCACTCAAAAGTCAGAAATGGAGCAGTGGTTCAAGTAGTAGAGTGCTAACCTTGAGCAAAAGCAGCTTAGGGATAGTGCCAAGCCTTGAGTTCAAGTCCCAGTACTGACACACATAAAATCCCTCTGAATACAACTGTAAATGAAATATGTAAGTGCTTTTAAATTCTCTATCGTACTTAAGTAAATGTCTCATTTCTTAAGTTGTTTATGATTTATTAAATTATTTTGTATTTGAACCAGTCTTCTAAAAATTGTCAAGTTTCACAGGTTTTACTTATAAATTTGTTTCCATGTTGTGACAGATACAGAAACAACAACAACAAAAAACCCTACTTATGTAAATCTGCTTACTTGTTTAGCAGGCAGTGCTACTAGTAAAAACATTGGACCTCTCCGCTGCTATGCAAATACTGTCTTTTTTGTTGGTCGTAGGGCTTGAACTCAGGGCCTGGGTGCTGTCCCCTCAGCTTTTTTTTTTTTTTTTTTTGCTCAAGGCTAGTGCTCCACCACTTTGAGCCACAGAACCACTTTGGGTTTTCTGGAGGGTAACCGAAGAGTCTCATGGACTTTCCTGCCTCCTGAGTAGATAGGATTATAGGCATAAACTCTTGGCACCAGGCAAGCATTTTGAACTTTTTTTTGATACGTTTTTTATTGTAAAAATGCTGTAACAGAGGGGTTATAGTTACACGAGCAAGGTAATGAGTACATTTTCTATTGAGTATTGTTGCCTCCTCCTTTGAACTTTTATAGTACATTTTACTTTTCAAAATTAGCTGCTGATAGTAGTCATTGTAAACTTTTGTCCTATGAATATCCTAAATTCATGCTTGTCAAAAGGTTCTAGAAAACCCATAGCTCTAAGTTGTTTACATTACTACTGTAACAAGACCTGGAGAAAACTGGAGAGATTCTTTTGCCTTTGTAGCTGAAAGCCTTTCACTTAAGAAAAAAAATTTCTTGTTATAAGGTGGGGGAGGGAAGAGTTGGGGAGGTAGGAAGAGAAGGGATAGTAGGGGGAAAACAAAGGAGGGGGTAACAATGCTTGACAGGAAATGTACTTATTACCTTAATTTTGTAACTGTAGCCCCTCTGTATAGCATCTTTATAATAAAAAATATTAAACCAAAATAACGCCCAAAACACTGTTTCAGTAAAACAAAAACATAAGGAAAGTCTGGTTTCACTGCCAATACAGGGGTGGTTTATTGGAGATAAGAGTCTCACAGTCTTTCTTGCCTGGGCTGGATTTGAACTGCGATTCTCAGATCTCAGCCTCCTGAGTAGCTAGGATTACAGGCGTGAGCCACCGGTGCCCGGCAATAGTCTCATTTTTAAGATAGCTCCCTGTACACATTATCTAAAGTTGTTTCTATATTTTATATTGTATAACTCTTACTATTTGAAATTCTGTCTGTAGTCTAGATCCTTATTAAAATGTGCTTCATGTCTTACAGATTGTTGTTAATAAGACAATAAAAACCACACCATTTTCCTAGTTCTTCTAGTCAACTGGGCAAAGGATTACACACTGTAATCTCAGCACTAGGGAGGCTGAGGCAAGAGGTTTGCAGGGTTGAGAGAAGCCTGGCTACCCTGGTGAGTTCCAAGCAGCCTAAGCTATGAAACCTGTCTGGAAAGAAAGACAATATTTCTACTCACTTTTCTTGGAACTTTTCAATATATTCCCAAGTTATGGATTATGCTGAGAATGAAGAAAAATGCTTACCGGTTGTTTGTTACTTTGGCAGGCTGCACTCAAATGTTTAAACCACAGCATGGCATTCATCCTACTGCCAGCTTGAAACTTGTATGAATTTCCTAAAATTACAAAAAGCAAGTGGAAAATAATAAAAATTTAAGGAACATTCCATGTTAAAACTCTACTAGATATTATAGTGATGTGTATGTCTAGAGTTCTCAGTTTCAGAATTCTATTTACTGACTGCATGACTTTCCAGTATGAACAAAGATTTGGTTTATGTAAATCATTAACATGCTATTTTATATTCATATTCACAAAGCCACTGTTTTGCTGGTTTTAAACTAGAAAAAAAAGATGGTTTAATTGTTTTTAGAAATAGTATCTAAGTAAAATAACTATATGGCTTACTAGATTTGTCTATCTAGATAAGAATGTAAAATATGTTAATAGTATTTAACCTAAATATTACAAGTTAACAGTTAAGTATTTGCATATTTCAATATGGTTAATAAACATCAGTTATGTAACATAATTAAGGCTATTAGTTATACTTTTAGCCTTTAGTTACAACACACTGGCCATGATTATGGTTCCAGTTGTTCTATGGGCTCCCTGGAAAAATCTATGGAAAAATCTTTTCTCTTTTAGAAACGAGAAATTATCAAGTGCCACAGTAGCTCTTTTATTTTCATTTGGTATATGACAAAAAAAATTCATACTAAGAACATTTTATTTGGCTGCATATATTAAGGTAAATAGAAAATAAACCAACATTCATGTATTATCCTTACTTTAACTTTGTCTTCATTGTCTCAGGTTTTTATTTTTTCCCCCTCCCCTTTATAGTATATTCAAAGGACTCAGAACTTGACTACATCACTTGTGAGCTGCTGTAGTAAGGAACTCTGGGCAGATGTGCATTTCTTTTTGGGTCTCCTCTGTGGTACTTGCCAAGTGCTGGCAGTTGTTATAAAGTAAAAGCAACAACTGCTCCAGAGTCTTTTCTGATGGTCCCTGTAGTGTTCATAGAAGATAAAGGGAAGGTCAGGGGGTATGATGTGGTCATACACAGCTCACTCTCCAATTTTTCTCATTTACTTCACAAACTCTAAATTAGGCTAATAGCCAATTATGGGACTGATAAATTTCTGTATATGTAAAGTATTTAAATTAATGTAGAAAGGGATTTGAGCCAAATAACCAATTAAAGTAACAGAATAAAAATTAAAGGAATACTAGCACTTTCAATTAAGGGTATAATTTCTGAAATTTTTAAGTAACAATGGGCTATATTCTCAAATTCCCAACCCCTACCACCTATTATCCTTCTAAGAATTACTTGAGCTTTCAATTTTTAAGCTTATGTCTAAATGGTAAAGAAAACAAACTATAAAAATACTGGTTCACTGAAATATGTTTGAAAAATAGTTGCTTCAAAGGTAAAGCTACAGAAACATTTCCTCTGTTTAGAATTCCAATTAAACTGGATTTTGGGCTTTCTAAAATGTTATGCATCCATAGTACTTTAAGCTCTTGTCTTAGTTCTAATAAGTCACCTTTCTCAGAGTCAGTCAATAAGAAGAGGTCTGGATGTTCTGGGTCATCAGCCATCATCACCATCCATCCGACTACAGAGACGTTCTTATTTGATGTTGATTTGAACTGAGATGAAATGATAAATTTATTAATAAAACTAAAACTAAAATTAAAAAGTAAAACTCGTGAGTTTTATGGTTAATTCTTATGTAAGAATTTCAGTTCCTCCTAATGAAAGATAAGATTTGAGATTTCATGTTAGTTCAGGTCAGCTTCAGACCTTTTACTACTAAGATGCATCTAGCATGCCCTCTTTAGATAGCCTGAAAAAATTAAGTCCTGCTGGGTGCTGGTGGCTCACTCCTGTAATCCTAGCTACTCAGGAGGCTGAGATCTGAGGACTGCAGTTCAAAGGCAACCCAGACAGGAAAGTCCATAAGACTCTTATCTCCAATAAACCACCAGAAAACTGGAAGTGTCACTGTGGCTCAAGTGGTAGAGCACTTGCCTTGAGCTGAAGAACTGATAAGACAGCACTCAGGCCCAGAGTTCAAGCCCCATGACAGACAAAAAAAAAGAAAAATTAAGTCCTAAAGGACTTAATTTAACCATATCAACCTTTCTTTCTCACTATAAAGCATAGTAATACTAACTAGGGAAATCAATGCAAAATGTTTCAGTAAAATTAGAATAATTTTGAAGAGTATATGTCTGCTACTACTATAAATGTTATGTTTCAGAGTATGCTGACTACATAAAATAGCTAGGGTACAAAAATTAATATGCATAGAATGGAATGTTACTGTTTTTTTTACATCAGTACAAGAGTTATGTAAACAATTATAATAGTAAGGAAGTCAATGCTTAAGAATTTGTAATTCCAGTCTGGCAGGATGATACACAGATGTAAAACCAGCACTTGAGAAGCTGAGGGGAAATATCTCGAGTTTGAGGCCAGCCTGTCTCAATAGCAGCCACTCAACAAAACAAAAACCAAAAATGATTTCAGGAGCTGGTACAGCTCTGGGTTCAATCTATAGTATTAAAAACCCACAAATGGTGACATTGTCCAAAAAGAAATGTACTCTTTACCTGACTTATACAACTGTAAATCCTCTGTATATCACCTTTATAATAACAATTAAAAAGTTAAAAAAAAAGAAAAGCAAACTAACAACAAAAAAACCCCTGAAAATCTATACCCCCACCCCTGAAATGTATTAGTTTGGGAAATGGTAACATCCTAAAGAAAGGTGAGCAATGATTAATATGAAATTTAGGACAGTGATGGGTAGTGGGAATACTGATAAAGCAGGCAATGTGATCTAATGGCATTTCCCACATTTAAACAAAAAATATCCTCTTCTATAACTGGTTTGATTAAAGGGTGAAACTGTAAGCAGAGCTTCTCTCAATTAGGCAGTGTCATTAGTAAAGTTTTAAGTACTAAGAGGACTTACTTATATTGTTCTCAACTTTCCCCAGTGTAGTATGCCATTTAATTGTCTCTCCTCAATATATGATTTAGAAATAAAATTCTTCTTAAGGGAATTTTAATTTTTATTTTTTTGGTGAGCAGAGTGCTGGTACTGGGGCTTGGACTCATAGGCTGGGTGCTGTCTTTTAGCTTTTTTGCTCAAGGTTAACATTCTACCACTTCCTCAGAGTGATTTTGTTAATGTAGCACAGGACATTTTTCTTCCATGTTATCACTGTCATGTAAAAACAACAGGCAAAAAATTTACAGCAATATTCTAAACAGAGAAAAAGAGCACTGGAAGATTCTTTTAAGATGAAGCACAAGGAGGCACCTTATAGTAATTACTCTCATTCCTCCATTACTGAAAGTGTCACTGCAGCAGAAACTGAGATGGAAAGAACTTTAGATGCTGGTCCCAATTTTTCACATTTTACTTATTAGAAACTGAGATTCAAAGGTAATAGTCCTGAGCTATGTTCTGAATGAGAAAACTCAGGGTTGAAAAGGCACTGATGCCAAGATATTTGTAATGTTTTTTGACATTTGCTATAGAATAATGATATTCAAAGGAGACCTAAAAATATAGAGGCTATTATTCCAAGACCTCCTTGGAATGGTCTTAATAAATAAAGATGAGTCCATTATAGTATTCATACCAATAACAAGTGTAAAAATTTCTGTGCTGGAATACGGAATAAAACCTTTCCTCCTATTAGGACTATCTTCTTTACAACTATGAAGAAGAGGCTGTGATCCAGTACTGAAGTCGGAGGAGGAGTACTCACATGTTTTCTTTCTGTAGCCTTCAGAGATTTGGCAGCATAGTAAAAAAGCTGTGTTCCAGACAAGGCTGCCCAATATTTTGTCCAAGATGCTACCTGGAATTGATAAACATATGAATATAACATATTCATATGATAAACACATATTAAAATGTCACTGGCTTCTCAGTTTACCTTCTTAGTGACAATGACCCACTGTCTTAACCTTAGCGTTGTAGCACTTTTGAAATCTTCTATCTCAAGTATCTTTATTACTTTCAGCTAATATCATTGCTTCTTAACTTTCTTCAAGTACTTTAACTTAGGCTGTGGGATAACAAGCTCCTTAAGTTTTACTTTACATTTTTTCATACAGCTGACTTGATGCTTCACAGAACTCATTCTCTTTCCCCAGTTAGTACTTTCTTCAAAGATAGTATTTGAAGTTTGGGATTATTATCTGTATGCTAATGACTCCCAAAACACCATGTCTAACACCATCCCTTTACTTCACTAGTTAAACTGAACTTGGAACTATAAACAAAATAATGTTCCCAATATCTACTTAAGCTTAACCCTCAAACCCATAAGTTATTTTCATTTCCATTATTTCTCTTATACATCATGTAAAATATCAACAACCAAGTCTACTCTGACTTTATTTTCTCTACTTTCTCCATTTTCCATGCTTCAACAACACAGGACCTTTAGGGCTCTTGGTCTTTAGAGCTGAACAAAGCTAACACCTTTCACAGATGGCAATGCAAATGCCTTGCTATCACATCATCTTGAAGGATTCCTCTCTGGGTCTCCTCAGTGGAATGTATATCCATGAGACAGTCACCCTGTGCTACTGTTCAGTGCACACAGTGGGCACAGTGACCCCTCAAGGGACATACTATTCTGCGTTCACTGCATGGTCTAGTACAGATTCTTAATGGTTTGTGCCTTTGCTTTACTGTAATGTAAGAGCAAAGTAAGATTACTTAAATAGAAATCCCCTTCGTATTTTAAGAAACCTTCCTATTTTCAAGAGGTTTAAGTGTGGATGGATTTATATTTAATTAGATAAACCATAAAGTTATTTGAGAAAATTTATGTTTTAGTAAACTACTATACTGGTACTGGGAAATACAAACTGTTACACACAAAAAGCTTTGTTTTACTAAGCAATTTTTCTCAAACACATGTATGAATATTCTATTTCTATATAACCCATCTTCCCTCTCTTCTTCCCTCCATTCCTTGTGGCAGTACTGAGGTTTTGAACTTGGGGCCTCATGATTGTTAAGAAGGCTCTTTACCACTTGAGCCACATTACCAGCTCATATTTGCTGTAGTTTTTTTTTTTTTTGGTTAGTCTCATGTTTCTCTCCAGGGGCTGACTTCTGACCATTATCCACCTACTTATGACTTCCATATAGTTAGAATTACAGGTGTGAACCACCATCACCAGCTCATTTGTAGAGATGAGGTGTCACTAACATTTTGACATGGTTGGCCTCAAACCATGCCCTTTGAATAGCTGGAATTACAGACATGTACCACTATGCCCAACCATTATAAGTTTTCTTAATGAAGTACTTTAGGGTTCTCTTAAATAGTTTTGTGTACAATTTACCTTAATGAGTAAAGAGAAGTATAGGATTATCTTTATGTAAACATACTTTACAAGGGATTTAGCTGAAATCTAGATGGCTGATAGAATACTTTGTTACTAAATCCCATGAGGAAAATGCACATTTTTTTATACATTTTAAATTATATCAAAGTACATTACTTTGTCTTTTCTTTCCACTTATTTTTTGGTGTCTTAGGCATTCACATTCTTAGATGTGTATTAAAATAAATGTAATGGAATCTTACTGTAGGTTTTTTGCCTTCTTTTAACAAAGTTTTCCTCCTGAGAACACCCTGAATAGTAACAGCTCCTGGATATAAATGTACTGCCAAATCTTCTGACTCTGCAGAACTACAAATGAAATAAAAACACAAGTTAGAGCTTTTGTCTACAGTCTTTATACTTAAATATTATTCTTAACTTAAAAACTTTACTTTGTCCAGAGCCAAGAAGACACTGATAATTTAAAATGTTTATTGATTTGAAATTTGTAAGCAGTCAAAGTTAGGAAGCTATTAAAATCAGAAGATGGTTAAAAAACTATTATTTATTTGAACAAATATAATGACTAAATTTGGCTTTTGTCTTCTTAACATGCCATGCTGCATCATTACTGTAACTTTATTTTTCTCCATTAGAAACTTTAAGTCCTGGTAGGAGAGATAATTTTATGTTAGAATTATTAAGTACATAAAACTGAAAATAGCAAAAGACCAGAAAGAAAAAAAAAGAAAATTTATGCTTATTTTAATTGTAAAACAAGTTTAAAAAAATAGCAAAGAGTAGTAACATTTTTCAAAACTGGCTTTTTGCAATGAGTTTTAATAACATTTAAATGCTGCTAATGTGTAAATGCTCAATTATGACTTAACAGCCCTCCAAGAAAGGAAAAATTCCCCAGATCAAAATTCCCCTTTTCATATATCTTAAAAAAGATCACACAATAACCACTGTACAATGTTTCCCAATCATTCCCCCAAAATGATTTATATATGAATCAATTAAAACAAATACATTATAAAAATGACAATCACTGGTGATTTGATGAGATGTAGAATTCCTACAGAAGCGAAGAAAAACAGAAGTTTTCCAGTTTATTCCTTTATGACTATTTAGGTGTCTTCAAAGCGACTTAACCTAAGAAATTTCATGCTATAGCTTTCCATAACCAGGGAGGTATGCAAAAGAAGATCAGACACCAAATGAGTGTGCTTTCTACTATTTTGCTGTATTCTGAACTGGTTACCCATTTTCTATATCCACAATAAATCCATCTTTGTTTCTTCTACAGGTAATATGAAAGGAAAAGGAGATAGTTTAACTAGATGAAGAATTGAGTATGAGTCGAAATACATAAAAACTATTTGATGAAATACATTTGTCTAAATTCTATGGTTTATCTGAAAAAATTCATAAAAAAACCTGAAAATAAACATAGCTTAACAATAAAGTGATCATTCAAGGACTAGCAACAGTTAAAAGACCTATGCAGTTAAAATGCCACTATCTTAGAGAAGCATTTGGAAAATGTAATAAAAAGATGTAAGTTTTAGCAATTAGCTCTGTGGATCAAAAAGAATAGCTCAAACCTATCTCTGTATTAAATCTTGGAAGGAAAGATTTGGGGTAATTTGTATTAAAATCAATTAGTTGAGAAAGAATAGAGATAATGTGAGACCACACCCAAGTAAGCGAATCACCAACACCAAAAGGAGTTCTGAGACCCCCCTGATTTGCAGGGGAATTGTACCTGCTGGCCTTCATGTGGCTTCGATAGCCATTTCGTGCCACTCTTGTCACCGGGCCGAGAGAATGGTATAATCTGTTCCTGTTGGATTCCATTATAAATTGTATGTATTACATATACTTTATTCACAAAATCATCAATACCTAGAAGAGTATACTTGTTTTTTTGTCCAATATAGTTTTCTAAATCAAAAGGACAGTATATAATAGTTCCTCTTTCTTTTTCAAAGCATGCAGCAAGTTTTTCAAAATTATTGACTACAAATATAGTATTTAGTACCTACTATACAGTTTCACATACATTATCTTTCATAAATCTGCTAAAAGAATTAAAGAGCAATTTATAGCTAATTATATAAATGTGAAAGATAATTCAAAAGCCTTTTGTTTCTAACTTTACTTCTTGGATTCCAATTTAAATATGAAAGTATTTATTATATGTCCCTATGAAGACACCTAAAAGCAACATGGCTTCTAAAGTTAAAACAAAGGAGGAAAACCTCTATCTTTGATAGTAAATCAAAGACTAATAAAGGAAGAAAATTAAATAACAAATTTAGTCATTTTATTTCAGCATGAATTGAGAAAGCCAATAAACAAACGGGATGGTTATGAATGGAATTTTGTCCAAACTGAAATGCTATGCTTTATAAAGGAAATAAATTCATGCCAACCCGCCTATGTGTACACACACATAGAAACACTGATACTTCTTTGCCTGGGAAAAGCCAAAAGTGACATTGATGACAAATGATATCTAAAAAAAAAAAGAATTATTTTAGCAACTTAAGCAATGATGTATCTGTGTTTCCTTTGGAAATAAGAGGAGAAATATGGTGGGGTCAAAATTCAGAGTGCTATTTTTGGGGGCCTGGGAAGTAGCCGAGTATTTGATCCCTCCCTCTGCATTCCCACCCTGGCCACTCAAAATATCAGTGTTATCTTCAAGTTCACTGTCCACAGATAGTATTTTAGATCTTAGTTGTAATTTACTTCTTATTTCACAAGAAATAAGCATTCACACAAAGGTTCTCAAAATATTCCAAAAGCCACTGGTTAAAACTTGGCACAAGAACACTTTTTTTTTTTTGGCTGCAAATGTCTGCAAAGTAAAACATTTGTCATACAAGGAAAGTATTGTTTTGAGGTGTGAAGGCAACATCATTAATGACTGTCTCTGTAGGTAACTTGCTAGGATGAGAACAGATGAGCACAATACTATTCTGGGTTATTTACAACTCAAGCAATCTAACCAACAACTTTGTTAATACTGTCAATCTAAAAATTTATACACTCTAAAATCAAGATCTGATGATGGTATTCTGCTTTTTCTTAAGGGGAAAGATAATTTGTACAAATTCAGAACACATCTAGGGTAACTTTTGTGTTTTCCTCATTTCAAGAAAACCCAAGTAAGAGAACAAAAGTGAAGGTTAGAAGAGAAACAAAATTTAAAACAATTTTTTAAGAATCCCCTAATAAAAAGAACATGGAAACATTTATAATTAGAGTAGAAAGGATTTTAAAAAGTACACTGAAGTAATAAAGACCTCATGAATAAAACCTTAATCCCAAAATGGTGACTGATCTTTATGTATTTTCATTAGCAACATTAATATATTTTTTCCAATTAAAAGCTTGAACTCAACAAATTAAGATAATTCAATTTGAAATGGTTTTCTCTCAAAAAGTGATTGATGGGAGTTATATAACTAAACATATGACATTAACATTTAATCTAAATAATAATGTTAAGGGCTGAAGGCATTGTTCAGTAGCATACCTCTTGCTTCAATTACTCAATATCACCTCTTGCTTAGGCCCACACCACTCTCTTGTAGTACTAAGGATCAAATCCAGAGCCTTGCATGCGCTAGGCCAAGTGCACTTATCACTGAGCTATATTATATCCACAACCCTTAGTTGCTTAGCTTATACCCCAAATGGAGCAATGTTTTGGTTAAGAGTCAAATGTTTGGAACTGGCGGTATGGTTCATATGGGAGTGTCAGCTGTGAGCAAAAAAGCTGAGTGAGAGCTCAAGACCTGAGTTCAAAGCCCCCATAATGGCACCAAAAATGAAAAAAAAAAAAGGCCAAATCTCTTAGGAGTCTAAAAATGGTAATACTGAAAGTAGTCAGAGTTATACATATATAATTTTTTGGAATTTTTTGATACACTCTCAAGGAGCATTTATATTTGAAGATCAATATACTAAAGTTTCTTCACACTGTTGAGTTTTATAGCTCAAAATAACAGGAGAACAGGGCTAGGAAGGTGGCTCAGTGGTAGAGGGCTTGCCTTGTATGCATGAGGCCCTGGGTTTGATTCCTCAGCACCACATAAGCAAAAAGAAAAAAGCTGGAAGTGGCGCTGTGGCTCAAATGGTAGAGTGCTAGCCTTGAGCTGACTAGCTGAGGGACAGCGCCCAGGCCCAGAGTTCAGGCCCCACGACTAGACCCCCCCCCAAAAAAACAAAAACAAAAACAAAAAAACAGGAGAATAGACTACAAATTATGCTGGGCACTGGTGGTTCACACCCGTAATCCTAGCTACTCAGGAGGCTGGAGATCTGAGGATCACAGTTCAAAGCTAGCCCGGGCAAGAAAGGCCGTCAAACTCTTATCTCCAGAAAACCAGAAGTGGTGTTGTAGCTCATGTGGTAGAGCACTAGCCTTGAGCTGAAGAGCTGAGGGACAGCATTCAGGCCCAGAGTTCAAGCCCCCATGACCGACAAAAAAAAAAAAAAATACAAATTATATTCTTTATAAGCTACTATAATATATACTTGGCACAATTTCAATTAATGACCACTTACATTCAAATATCATATACTTTAAAATTTACCAACTCATTTTGCCTTTGACAAAGCAGTAAAGTTGATCATTCCCCTAAGTGTTTTAAAATTTCTTGAGTTACCAAGACCTAAAGTAATATAAAGTAATAATTTTATAACAGAAGTTAACTATCTTATTATTGAAACTGTTAGCATTGAAATTATTGAAAAATTTAACTTACAAATAAAATGTACTTAAAATTCAAATACACATGTAAAGACACCAAATTAACAGACTACCAAGAGCCATTACTTACAATCCCAGACTTAAGTATCAATAACTAACTTCTTCTGTTGGCAAGAAACTTTAGTCAGAGACACGTAATAAATGTTTCTTCAAATTCATTTTATCATATCCTTTGGGACATACAAAATAAATTCCAAGCAGTTTAGCAATTTCTCTTACCTTTCAAAAGCAGGCCATGAGGTCTCTTCACTTAGTTCAGAACCATCACTGCTACCTAAAATCAAAAGTTATTCTAGTTTTTCAACATCAGAATTGTTTTTTTCAGTTTGGATTTTATAATTTACAAATACATTTTCACTGGTGCTATAAAATGATAATCTTCATTTTAGTCTATCATTTATATATTATTATTCTAGTATTACTGCTGTTAAGTTTATTTGCAATACATTAGAGTACAACTGACAAGACTAAGGTAACAAAGTAACATTTTTTCATGCCTAATTATAGCTTACGTTTATTACATTAAAAAAAATATTTGTACTGGACACCATAGGCTCACTCTTGTAATCCTAGCTACTTAGGAGGCTCAGATCTAAGGATCAAGTTTGAAGCTAGTCCAGGCAGGAAAATTCCTGAGACTCTTATCTCTAATTAAACACCAAAAAACCCAGAAATGGAGCTGTGGCTCAAGTGGTAGAGCTCTAACCTTGAGCATAAAAGACCAGGAACAGTACTCAGGCCCTGAGTTCAAACCCAGGACTAGCACAAAAAAAAAAAAAAAACCAAAAAAACAAAACCAAAACCAAAGAACAGTATTTCTACCAGAGAATGTATATATTACACAATTTTTCTTTTTCAGTTTGTCCCAACTCAGGAATAAAATAATGATAGAATCCCAAGAAGTTCAAGGCATACTTATTTCAATTTTGTACTTACCCTAAGGATAAAAAGCTTAATGAAATTAATTTGTCTTAGAAATGAGACTGAAAAAGATAGGATCTCTAATATTTTCAAATTTTTCTATAGACAAAACGACAATTTCCTCTATAGCTGTGTTATCAGTTAAAATGGTCTTCAAATAGAAACTTAGTTAGGTGGGGAAAAAAAAACCTGAGGAGGATGAATTTGAAGATTTGTGTAAGTTAAAGATAATTTTGGCTCTCAATAAAATTAAAACTAATGTCAAGTTGAATTCTCCACCAAACTTTTACAACCATGGTTCCTTAAGAGACTCAAACTCTAATACTATAAAGTGTCAATTATAAGTGACTGATTAATACTCTTTTATGAATCTCAATGGAAGCTGTTAGCAGTAGGGGGCTTTGTTGAGTGGAGAAAGAGAAAGCAGTAGGGAGGATTATTCTGATCATAATATAATATATAAACATCTGAAATACCATGGTATAAACCTCTTTGTTACTGTTAGTACATACTAAAAAAATGACAGGAAGTAGTAAAAAAAAGGCTCTGATGGGTTGAGGAGGTTTGAGTATTAGTGGGAGAAGAGAGTAAATAAGGATGAATATTGTCAAAGTACTTTGTTTGCATGTATGAAAATAGAAAAATGAAATTTATTAAAATGGTTTTAAAGGGGAGTGGAGTAAGAGAGTGTTAGGAAGTGAGTTTGATCGGGATACACTGTAGGATATGGAAAGGTCATAATGAACAATATATTGTACAAATAATGTTTGCTAACAATAATAATAGGAAACTTCTCCAATGCATTTGGCATGGCATAAGTTTTTGTATCATACAGGAATGGTACAGCAAAGAAATAAAGGTAAGCTGTAACCCAATGCTGTAATTTAAAAAACTTATTTTTTGTTCTAAGTAGCATGCTAAATTTCATAATACAACAAACTGGGAAAAACAATTTGCAAAACAATTCTGTGTATTATTACTTTTAGAATTGAGATTGTATTTGCACACAGGCTATTTAACACATGCTGAGAATATTAATTTGAACCTCGATCCTCAGATCTCAGCCTCCTGAGTAACTAGGATTACAGGCATGAGCTACCGGCGCCCAGCAAGTTCTGTTTTTTTTTTTTTTTTAAAGACACCCTTGTATAGCTCATTCTGGCCTCCAATTTGAAATCCTCCTGCCTTACTCTCCAGAGTGCAGGGATTGCAGATGTGTGCCAATTTGTTAGTTTGAATGGAATGTTACCCAAAGATAACATGTACTAAAACATGTACTAAAAGCCTGGTCTCCAGCCTGAAATTAGTCTTTGTTACAGGGGGTCATGATGGGACTCTAATCTCTTCTTTTAGTTTCTGACCATGTGGTGAGCAATCTTGCTATGTTACATGCTTCTGTTTGGATGTGCTGCAAGAAGGCCAACTGATCATGGACTAAATCCTCTAAAACAATAAACCCTTTCACTTTATAAGCTGCTAATGCAGTGTTTTCATTCTCATTTTTGTACCTGATACTGATAATTTAGTATTTCCCTCTTCTTTGAGACACTTGGTATTTGTGATTCCTTTCCCCTCTTCTTCCTTATCAGTCTTATTGTTTCCTTCAACAGTTCATCCTCCTTCCTGTCCCCACCCCTCATTTTTTCTTGGTCCTGGGGCATGTACTCAGGGCCTGGGCACTGTCTCTGAGCTCTTTTTTGCTCAAGGCTAGTGCTCTACCACTTAAGCCACAGCTTCACTTCTGGCTTTTTTTTTGTGGTTAACTGCAGATAGGAGTCTCATGGACTTTTCTGCCTAGGCTGACTTCCAACCAAGATCCTTAGATCTCAGCCTCCTGAATAGTTAGGATTATAGACACAGCCACTGAAACCTGGCTATGACTTCTTTCTCAACTGAGTTTTGTTTAAATTTTCATCTTTTGCAAATAGGAGCACTCTGAGAAATGTTTCTCACCTATTGATATTCCACTGGAAAGAGTAGAACTTTCAGCTTGGCCTCGAGATGGAGCATGGGGTTCCATGACACTATCATCTAACAGATGTCTTGGGCCTGCATTTGGGAATGTTGCACTCTTAAACTCTGCTGTGTTCATTTTATGAATAAAACTGGAAATAAAAAGAAAAATTTTTCATAGCTTTTACTATATTACTAATTTAGGATATAAAAAGTACTTTTATATGAAAAATTCAGGATATAAACATTTCTGGTTGAACTGAAACCCTGCTGTACAACTACTTGAAGATTAAAAAGATTTATCTTCTATCTTAAACTCTCAACTTTTATAAGAACAAACATGTAGTTGCCACCAAGAAAGACTCAAACTAACAGTGTAAAGAAAACTGTATATGAAACCTCATCACATCTACTTATATAACTATCATATACTTTAATTTCATCTGGAATCTCAGGTCCATGAATAACACTGTTTTAACATTCATTTGTATAGAATTGTTAAAATCTCACAAAAATCATACACAGGTAAGCATGGATCCCTTTTTGAGAATACATTATTATACAACTAATGAAGTTAAATAACAACAACAAATCAGTTTTCCTTTCTTTATCTTTAGTGAGAATAACTCTTTGGATTTTTCCCCCCCACCCAGCCCCTGGATTTTATTATTTATTTTAGTTAAGACAACTGTTTATGACTGTAAAGGAAACAAAGGCACTGTTGCGAACAGCTTATTTACAAATTTAAGCAAATGAAGAAATAAAATGCTTGTGGGCAAACAATATGTTTGACTAGTATTGTTAGCAAAATCACTATTTTCTATTTAATAAACATATAGAATTTATTTACTAATTAATAAATAATTCCAACCACAAACAAAATTCAGATGCTGACTTATAGCCCAGGCTATGGCACTTCCTGTGTCCATGTGGAATCAGGCTCCGAGGGGACGGGGGTGTCTGAGGGAGCAGGGCTCCTTCTGCAGCCACACTCTTCCTACCACTCTGTGGTGATGCTCCTACTTCAGGACCTGAACATTAAATTAAAACAGAGAGGGAGGGACGGAGGGGGGAAGGAAATTTTTACATTGTCTTAAAGGTTTGTTTTATTTTTAATACCGTGACATAAAATATTAAGTGTGGTTTAAATTTTAAGGTAATAATAATGTTTGCTTCTGCTTAACTGATTTAACTTCATGAGTTATTTTCAAAGTTGTACAACCAAGAATCTCAAGCCATACAAAAATACATTAATTTCTATCTAACTTACATGTATAAATATCTTTTCTATTTATATAGGAAGACAGAAGAATTAGAAGACATCTCAGGATCTTACCTCACAGACAAAATCTGGGCTAATTATCCAAGAATTCTGAGTCCTAGGTTCAGTGTTTTTTTTTTTTTTTGGTAGGTCATGGTGCTTGAACTCTGGACCTGGGAGCTGTCCCTCAGCTCTTCAGCTCAAGGCAAGCACTCTACCACTTGAGCTACAGGGCCACTTCCAGTTTTCTAGCGGTTTATTGGAGATGAGTCTCATGGACTTTCCTGCTCAGGCTGGCTCTGAACTGTGATCCTCAGATTTCAGCCTCCTGAGTAGCTAGGATTACAGGCATGAGCCACTGGGGCCTGGCTCTCAGTGTTTTTGATTTTACACAGTTTCTTTCTTTCTTTCTTTCTTTCCTTTCTCTCTTTCTTTCTCTCTCTCTCTTTCGCTTTCTTTCCCTCCCTTCCTTCCTTCCTTTCTCTCTCTTTCTTTCCTTGTGTTGGTCCTGGGGCTGTCACTCAGGGTCTGGGTGCTTTCCTGAGCTTCCTTTGCTCAAGGCTCATTAATGCTCTACCACTTGATTTACATCTCCACTTGTGGCTTATTTTGAGTAGTTTATTGGAGATAACAGTCTCAGACTTTCCTGCCTGAGCTGGCTTTGAATGGCACTTCTTAGACCTCAGTCTCCTGAGTAGTTGGATTACCAGCATGAGCCACTTGCAGGCGCTCTTCCGCTGAGCTAAACCCCCAGCCCCTGGCACTGGACTTATACATGCTTCTTTACTCATGGTTTCAGCTTCTTTTTATGTAAAAAATATGTAGGATATATTAAAAATTATTATCTGTACTGATATTGTTCAAGCTTATGGAAATAAAAAACTCCAAAGTACATAGCTTTGCAATATATCACTCTAAGGATGAAAAAAAAAAAAAAAAGCTGGGCACTGTAGCTAAAACCTGTAATACCAGCACTGGGGAAGGGAATAGAGTAGGACTTTGAGCTTGAGGACAGCTTGCTCTGTATCACAAAATCAAAATAAAAAGCACATTTAAGGTATTTAAATTTGACTGGGAGCCAGTGGCACATGCCTGCAATTCTAGCTACTTAGGAAGCTGTGACTTGGAGGATCAAAGTTTGAGGGCAGTCCAGGCCAATTGGCTGTTGTTTGCTAGACTCCATCTCCAAAATAACCATCAAAATTCAAGGCTGGAGACATGGCTTAAGTGATAAAAGTGTCAGTCTAGCAGGTGTGATGCTTTGTGTTCAAACTCCATTAAAGGAAAAGGAAAGCGCCAAATAAGAAATGACCTTAAAGTATTTTCCTCTACTTGGAAGGCTTTTCCTCATCCAAACTGTCAAAATGTTTCCTTGATTCCTCATATATCAGCTAAGCCTTCAAATGTTTTTTAGAATATACAATAGGAAGGTTATTTTGACAGTCTGTATTAGCAATTTTAAATAGGTACTTCTCAATATTTTTTAAAATTGTAGTATAAGTATCTCCTTCCAAATAAGTAACATCACCATTAGAAAGCAACAGCATGGACTATGATTTGATTTTTATATTTTTAGTCCTTGTCCCAATACTGAAATAAACTTAAAATTAATTGCTAAAATAGACTCAGTAATATAAAAAACAGAATATCCCACAGAGACAACATACATTTCTAGTGTAACCAACCTTCACTGAGTAGAACACTAATAATTCTTAAATGAATAGAATATTTATAAATTCTTATTAACATGTTACATGCTCTCCTTGATTAAAAAATATTTATTAATAAACATTAATAACCTGCAAGTTACTTTTTAATTAAAAACCAAAATACTCAGGACTGAGTAAAATTCTGAACATAAGATGTACTTTGAAGTTACCTGCTTTGAAATTATTTGGATCATTAATTGGTAATGAGAAAGAAGCTATGCACTAACCTACTAAATCTTCCCTGGAAGCAGCAGAACGTGGTGTGCTTGTTCCTGGTTCTATCTTTAATGACAGCCTGAATTTTAAAAAAGAAAACACACACATAAAGTGATTATCATTTGATAAAATAATATTAAAATCATGTATTTTCACACAAAAAACTAAAAGCATTTTAATAAAACAATTGAGCTGTATATTTTTCTTCATGAATAATTCATGAGTTTGTTTGAGGTGTTTGGATTTTAACTCCAAGGTCTTGTTCAATTTGTTCGCTTGCTTGAATAGTGTTCTTCTTTAGCCACATCTCCAGCCTGACTTTTTACTGGTCATTCTGGAAATGGTCTTTCAGACTTTTGTCCAGGCTGGCCTCAAACCATGATCCTTTTCTCAGCTTCCTAAGTAGATAGTGCTCAGTTCAGAGTAATCTTAAAGATGGTTATATCTTGCTCAGCACCAGTGGCTCATGCCTGTAAACTTAACTCAGGAGGTTGAGCGCTGAGGATTAGGCAGGAAAGTCCATGATACTCTGAATCTCCAATAATCACCAAAAACTAGAAGTGGTACTATAGCTCAAGTGATAATGTGCTAGCCTTGAGCATCAACAACAACAACAACAACAACAACACACACACACACACACACACACACACACACTCTCTCTCTCTCTCTCTCTCACTCTCAGGGACAGGGGCAGGCTCTAAATTCAAGCCCTAGAGACACTCTCCTCCCCTGAAGGTGTTAAACCTTCTGTTTTTTTTCATAGAAAGCTAATCTTATGGTCATTCTAGGAAATACTGAAGAGGGGAGGAAGACATCAAAATGTTTAACACAAGTCACAGGTAATAATGGGAAGGGGGAAAAGGTCAATAAAGAGGGAAAATATACAACTGAAATACTGAAGTGTCTCTGTGGCTCAAGTAATAATGTGTTAGTCTTGAGCACAAACATCCCCCCCCCAAAAAAACCCCTCAGGGATAGTGCCTAGGCCCTGAGTTCAAGCCCCAGGACTGGTGAAAAAATAAAAATAAAATAATATTGAAGTACTTTATATGCATGTATGAAACTAGAATAAAGAAATCTATTGAGGGCTGGGAAGGTGGCTCAGTGGTAGAGTGCTTGCCTTGCATGCATGAGGCCCTGGGTTTGATTCGTCAGCACCATAAGCAAAAAGGAAAAAGCCAGAAGTGGCGCTGTGGCTCAAGAGGTAGAGCGCTAGCCACATAAGCAAAAAGGAAAAAGCCAGAAGTGGCGCTATGGCTCAAGTGGTAGAGTGCTAGCCTTGAGCTGAAGAGCTGAGGGACTGCCCAGGCCCAGAGTTCAGGCCCCATGACTGGACCCCTCCCAAAAAAAGGAAATCTATTGAAGTTGTCTTAGGAAGAGGCAAAGGGGGAACAAAGGAAAATGAGGGAGTAAGGTTGATGGGGTACATATAGAAGGAGGACAAAACCTCCATTTTGTAATATATGCTAATGAGGAATCTTCAACATAAAACGGGTCACAAAAGTCTCTTTAACAACACCAAAGGTATCAAATAGTTCAATATATTTAAAGAGATGTGGTGATCAACTAAAAGATGATCTAAGTTCCTATATGAGTTGGAATGGAGGAGAGCATGATGAAAGGGATGACACTGATCAAGATACATTAAACTTTGGAACTGAAACCCCTTTGTGTAACTATTAAAAAAGTAAAAACAAAAAATTCAGGAGCAATCACGTATAATATTTAATATACATTTAGTTACTGGATGAGTATTGATTTAACTGCAACACTGCAAATTTCAAAAACATGTTATTCAGAACTAACCATTCAACTAATTAATTAACTCAACTTTTAGAAAGAAAGGTGTGGTAGGGCACCTAAGGATTGAGGTACAAGGCCAGCCCAGGAAAGATTGTCCATAAGACTTGTATCTCCAATTAACTACCAAAAAGACAAAATTGGAACCATGGCACAAGTGGAAGAGTACTGGCTGAGCAAAAAAAAGTTCAGGGAGAAGACGTCGGCCCTGAGTTCAAGCCCCAGGATTGGTGCCCACGCACACACATATACACAGAACCATATTTATTTTTTGGTGGTGTTGCTGAGTATTGAACCCAGGGCCTTGCGCTAGCCAAGTACTCTAACACTGATCTAAGTCACCAACTTCTTAACTATTTTCTTGGTTTTTGTCTTTAAAATTCTTTAACTTCCCACAATATTTAGTTGGGCTTACAGCACACAATTGCTTTTTTGGGGGGTCAGTCATGGGGCTTGAACTCAGGGCCTGGGCACTGTCCCTGGGCTCTTTTGCTCAAAGTTAGTGCTCTACAACTTTTTTTTGTTTTGTTTTGTTTTTGTTTTGGGTCCAGTCGTGGGGCCTGAACTCTGGGCCTGGGCGCTGTCCCTCAGCTATTCAGCTCAAGGCTAGCGCTCTACCATTTGAGCCACAGCACTACTTCCGGCTTTTTTCTTTTTTTTTTAACGTAAAGAAATCCAGTTAGAAAAAAAAAGAAATCCAGTTAGATTCCTGAGTAGGATGAATAATTTTTAAATAGGTAAGCATGTCAAGTATTAAGATGTCTGTCTGTCTTACTGGACAAAATGTAAATATTAGGTAAGAGTTTTGAACGAGTAACTAGAAAAATGGAAAAATATGAAGTGGTAAATATGACAGTTCATCAAACTTGAAAAGCTTACAACAGAGGGCAACACATTTGTGAAAGAACTCTGGCCTTAAAAAGCTCATCACTGAAGGGTCTTATATATTTCACCAGCTGGGGTCTGGTGGCACATCACTGTAACCCTAGCTACTCAGGAGATGGAGACATGGAGGGTCATGGTTTGAAGCCAACCTGAGCAGAAAAGTCCCATTAACCAGCAAAAAGTAGTGCTGGAGGCAAGACTGAGTGGTAGTATGTCTGCCGTCAGAAAACTAGCTACCTAAGAGCACAAGGGCCCTAGTACTGGCAGACATATACAAAAAGGGTTGGGGGATTGGCACAGTAATTCATACTAATCCTAGTTACTGAGGAAGCTGAGATCAGGAGGATTGACCCTGTCTCAAGTTCTGCAACTAAAAGTGGTGGCATGTAACTGTGAGTTTAGTTCCGTGCAAAGTATAAATAAGGAGGATTGCAGTCCAGGTCAGCCTGGTCATAAATACGAGACTCTTATTTGAACAATAACTAAAAACAAAAAAATATGGCTATAGGTATGGCTCGAGCAGTAGGGAACCTGCCTAGCAAGTGCAAGGCCTTTTCAAATCCTAGTACAATTCAACCCAAGGGATATACTATGGTTTTTTGTTGTTGGTTGTGGGACCTGAACTCTGGGCCTGGGCGCTGTCCCTCAGCTCTTCAGCTCTAGGCTAGCGATTTACCACTTGAGCCACAGCGCCACTTCCAGCCTTTTCTGCTTATGTGGTACTGAGGAATTGAACCCAGGGGCTTGTACATGCACGGCAAGCACTCTACCACTGAGCCACCTTCCAGCCCCCAAGTGATATACTATGTAAAAATGTTTTATAAGTGGGTGCCAGTTACTCACACATACAATCCTTGCTACTCAGGAAGGAGGCTGAGATCTGAGGATTTTGGTTTTAGCTAGCCTAAGCAAAAAATCCATGAGACTCTTATCTCCAAGTAACTGGCAAAAAGTGGGAAATAGAGGTATGGCTAAAGTGGCAGAGTGCTAGCCACAATCTAAAAGGCTGAGCAAGAGCCAAGACTCTGAGTTCAAGCCCCAATACTGGCACATACAAAAAAAGTTTTATAAAATAAAAGTTGCTATGGACTATAAAGGGTTAATATTTTGGGATAGAGATAAAGATGGCAATAAAGTTGTTTACAAACATTAACAAAATTTTGGACTAGGAAGGTGGCTTAGTGGTAGAGTGCTGGCCTAGCATGCATGAAGCCCTGGGTTTGATTCCTTAGTACCACATACACAGAAAAAGCTGGAAGTGGTACTGAGGCTCAAGTCATTGAGTCCTAGCCTTGAAGAAAAAGAAGCTCAGGGACAGTGCCCAGGCCCTGAGTTCAAGCAAGAAAAAAAAATTACCTGTCACAAACATTAATAAAATTTAAACACATTTAGAACCTCTTGAAATACTTAATACTGAAGAAAAGTCAATTTCTAGCTCTTTTTTTGTAATTTTCTAGTGTTTCAATAGGATTCTGTTCCACAGAATTAAAAAAAAGATTGCTAAAACCTATGAATAAGGAAGTTAATAATCGTTAATCAAAAAGGTTAAGGAAATATTCTGAAAAACATTAATTTTTCACTTTGACAGAAAAATTTAAATATGCCTTTTATCTGGAAAAATATTTTTGGAAGACATCAAATTTATGTTTTTAATGTGCATTAATTTCACTAGTGGATTTTACTATGGTGTTTCAGACATGCACACACTATATTTTGCTTAAAATAACCCTCTCTATGTCTTTCTCTTCCTCCCTTCTCCCCTAACACACTATTGATCAACAGCTTTTTTTTTGGTTCTTTATGCCAGAAGGCAACAAATTCAATTTAAAAGCTTCAGAACAACTGACAGTATAAAAGCTAAGGAAAAATCTGGGCCTGGTGAAAAGTGCCTAGAGTCCCAGACACTCAGCAAGCTTGAACTCAAGAGTTGAGACTAACTAGAATAACAGAACATATCCCTGTTAAAAAAATCTCAAAGATAAAACAAATTTTATTAACAAATCAAAGTTGTAAAACCTCATGAAAAGTAAGTTCTTTTCCCCTGCCTACTGAAAGGAAACTGGTAGTCATGATATAAAACACTAAAACTGAAAGATGAAAAAAAAGGGTTAATTTTACAAAAACAAGCCCTGTGCTGGGCAAAACTGGCATAGTAAACAGAGAGACATAGATATCAGCTATCTGCACAGGGGGTGGGGGTTAGGGGAGTTAACGGGTTTGAACTCTGAGCTTTATGCTTTGCTAGGCAGATGTTCTTTGCTTTAGTCATGCTTCCAGAACTTGTTTTGACTGGCCTGGAACCACAAGCATCTCCATCTCTGTCTTTGTTTTTTCCTGCAGGTTGTGGGGCTTGATCTCTGGGCCTGGGCACCGTCCCTCAGCTCTTCAGCTCAAGGCTAGCTTTCTACCACTTGAGCCACAGCACTACTTCTGGTTTTCTAGTGGTTTATTGGAGATAAGAATCTCACAGACTTTCCTGCCCCTGCTGGCTTTGAACCACGATCCTCAGATCTCAGCTTCCTGAGTAGCTAGGGTTACAGGTGTGAGCCACCGGCATGCAGCTTCTCTGTCTTCTTTGTAACTGGGATAACAGCTATTGATGTGAGTGGGGTATTTCCTTGAACTGCAATCCTCCCTACCTCTGTTAGTAGTTAGGATTACAGATGTGAGCAACCAGTGCCTGGTCTAGATTTTTAAAATCTTTAATACAGAAGAGAAGGTAAGTATAGTGCTGTATTGGAAAAATAAACAGTAACTCAGAGACATGAAGTTTAATAGTGTTGCAATCCATGAAAACAATCTTCAAGATGTGTCTAAAAATTACCATTAAAAGGAGAAATTTTTCTATTTTATAAGCTGTTTCATTAATTTGTTCATTAAAAGATATATTTCCATAAAGATTGACTAAATATATAGGGGAATCTGAATTATCAAACAGCTGTCTAAAGTTTGATAAAGTATAATACTCTTTAATAAAGGGAACAATGAATATTTGTATGTTTGACTCAATTATAGCAAGTGACTAAAAGGAAATATGATTTGGTTAATGTAACACTGGATTAGGCACTTCTGTAGATGTAGGACTTAGATGTTTAAATACACGGATATGGAAGAAAGAAGGATAGGACAAAGTACAAACCAATTTTGAAGATCCAACCTACTTGTAATTATCGTCTTCCACAAACTTTTGTAGTTCTTCTATGTATTGGACCGAGTTCAGGTATTTTTGGACATGAGGCAACATTGGAATATCTAGGCAAAATGTGATAAGTAATTATCCAATAAAGTGTATCTTAACCAGAAATTTAAAAGACAGACTTTTTCTTAAAGGACTCCAATTAGGAAGTTCTACATATTTAAGAAATTTCATAGTAAAAAAATCAGCGACTTCCCAATTTTCCATGATGTAAAAAAAAAAAAAATCAGAGACTTCAATATGATTATACTTAAGCATAAAATCTGTGTAATACGGCACTTAATTTTTCATTTTTGGTCAGTTGTGGGGCTTGAACTTAGGGCTTGGGCACTCTCCCTGAGCTCTTTCTGCTCAAGGCTAGTACTCTACCCGATCTAAGCCACAGCACCACTTCTGATTTTCTGGTGATTAATTGGAAATAAGAGTTTCACAGACGGGCTGGAAAATTGGCTCAGTGGTAGAGTGTTTGCCTTGTATACATGAGGCCCTAGGTTCGATTCCTCAGCACCACATAAGCAGAAAAGGCCAGAAGTGGTGCTGTGGCTCAAGTGGTAGAGCACTAGAGCTGAGGGACAGCGTCCAGGCCCAGAGTTCAGGCTCCAAGACCAACCAAAAAAAGTTTCACAGACTTTCCTGCTCTGGCTGGCTTTGAACCATGATCTTCATATCTTAGCCTCCTGAGTGGCTAGGATTATAGGCCACCAGTACCTGGCTTAATTTTTCTTTTAAACAACTTGTTTTCCAGCTCTGTGGGTCACTACTCATTATGAATTTCAAAAAGATTTAAGTTAGCATGGAAACTGGCATTGGAATAAGGCAGGAGCTATAATCCTATCTACTCAGGAGGCTTACTTCTGACTATTGTGATTTGAAGTTGGCCCAGAAAAGAAACTCCTGGAGGGCTGGGAAGTTGGCTCAATGATAGAGTGCTTGTCTTGAAAACATGAGGCCCTGAGTTCGACGCAGCACCATATAAGCAGAAAAAGCTGGAAGTGGCACCGTGGCTCAAGTGGTAGAGCGCTAGCTTTGAGCTGAAAAGTTGAGCAACAGCATCTAAACCCAGAGTTCAGGCCCCACGAACAAAAAAAAAAAGAAAAGAAACTTCTGGAGACTTATTTCCAATTAACCACCTAAAAGTAGAAGTGGAGCTGTGACTCAAGTGGTTAGAGCACTGGCCTTAAACAAAAAAACTTAAGGACACTACCCAGGCCCTGAATTCAAGCCACAGGTCCGGCACACACAAAACAAGGCAGAATAAAAGAATTTTTAACTCTCAGTAAGAGTCTATCATCTCTTCCACACTTTAAATAAGTTTCTTACAAGTACAGATGTACATGTGCAAAGTTAGCTTGAAATATTTTAGATAATATGAATTTAGTGTTCTTCAACATCAAAATTTAAATATAAAACATTTCAGTCCTTAAGAACATCCTAAAAAGCACTTTATGCAAGGCACAGTGATGCATGCATTACTCAGGAAGCTGAAGCAAAAAGATCACTTGCACCTAGGAGTTAGAAGTCAACTGCTCAACATAAAAAAACAACAACAACCAGAAAAAAGAGAAGGAAAGCTAACCAGTACATGCTGAAATAAGAAAGTTATATTCTCTGCGGTATGAAAAGTGGCCAATGAGATTTATCATGAAATTTATCATGAAATTCATAGCATAATAGTTTAGCATCATCTCCCAGAAACTTACCATATTCACAGGATTGCTGTAAATCAGAAATTATTCGAAGGATGTTATTCATTAAATTTGATCTCTGCTCATTTTCTAGAATGCTGCCAGTTGATGGGTATGCTGAATCAATGTACGTTAAATCTGATAAATAGATACCTGAAACAAAATTAGATGTTTTCTTACTTGTAAGTGAATCAGGGAGAGAAAACTCATTTATACATATATATACATATATGTATATATATATGTAAATATATATACATATATTTTAAAACATGCCATAAAAGAATATAGTTATTAACATATTAATATGACCAATCAGGGCTTAGATTTCCAGAGTTCGGTTCACATTTATAAACAACGTGCCTAATAAATTCTTATTTTTTAGCTGCAATTAGAATAACCTTAGCACATATGGGACTTAATGGAAAGAAGCTGAATCACTGAACTAGTTCTACCTTTGTTATTTGGTAGAGACAATCATTTTAATCTCTCAATCTTTTTACATCTATTCAACCATCACCTAAATGGAATAAGTTAAGCAGCCTAGCAAGGGGAAGTAATTTAGTTATATACCCTTGGATGGAGGATTATTATGACATTTAAGTCTTAACTACTTTGAAAATTGTCCCCATCTGGTAGCAATAGCATACAATTTAAAGATATACAATTGGATTTCTGAAATCATTAATATGACTACAAGTTGAAGTTAACCTTTCCAGCCTTTGTATGTTCTTGGTACCTATACAGATGACCCAAAATAATTTGGCTGTGCTAGTCTTGAACATGAGGTCACTCATTTAAAAATATTATCTAAGTTTTCACTATATGCACATGTAAAATGTATGAAAGCACTATAGATGGAGAAAAAATTATATACTTCTGTACTTTCCCCTTATTCTACTCCCATGAGCTCTCTGTAAGTGGAACTGAAAGTACACATCCATAAACCCATGTTTTATGTTTGCCATTTTCTCCCTCGAGTGTTTTCTAGACACATCTACATCCATTCAAACCCAGGACCTTACATAGACAGTTTAGTGTCTACTATTTTCTACTTTTCTTACAAATTCTAAGACAGGAATTTAGAAATTGTCTAGTATAAAGGGAGGCATGGCTCAAGCAGTAGAGTCTTGTCTAGCAAGCTCAAAACCAAGTTCATACTGAGAGACAGACAGACAAAGAAATATTTTATAGATGAGGAACCTAAAATCTACAGATATTTTAAGCATGTGTCTAATGCCATGTAACCTGTCAGGATGCAGTAGATCATCCTGTATTCCTAGATATACTTGTAGCCTAGGTTTAAAATAAAATTACATTATAAGCATACATATTATCTGTAACAATCACTTTTATGATCTTATATTGTCTATTTAAATTTTCTTATAACATTTCACATGTTCAATCTAGAAGCTCATTTATGGCAGTTGCTCTGCTTTGTACTTGAAGAAAATCTTGTGCATTATATCTTTAAAACAAGTGGCACTTAATACACTATAAAAGGTTACCATGGCAATCCTTTAACTCATCCTATAGTAGTATTTCTTTTTACTAAGTACAGCATTCTTAAGCCATAGATCCTAAATATCTATTTCACCCTATCTTCAAATGAACCAAGAGCCAAAGTCTTTCCCACTTCTAATCTTAGAAATGAACCTTTCTCTCTCTTCAAGTACATATTGTGATTTGGGGTGTAATTGCTATTACTTTTTTCCAAATGTATCATGTAGTCTTTTCTACCATTCAGCCCCACAGTCAATACTCCCATCAAATCATCCTATTTTAGAGTCAAAGCAATTCTTCTTTCAATTCTGATCCCCTTCTAAAGACCCTTGTGATCTCCCTTCAACAAACACCTTGAAAGAGAAACATGGAGTGGTATGCTTGTTTATTACTTACTGTACTTTTAATGTAATATCTGACATACATAAACTCCATATGGGTCAGGAAAAATTGTGAAAGACTTTAAAATGGGGGAAAATACTACTACGCTGTCTTCAGTGTTTCCATATTTTGCAACTTGGTGAAGACAGTAATGATACAAATTATTAACTAATATTACTCACTGACCGAAACACTGCCAATGAATTAATTACACATGTCTACTGACTATTGGCCCATAGATGTTGACCAATTTCGTATCTGGTCTACTGTAAGTTCACTGAAACTTAACTACTTATATGGGTATTATTATTATAAATGATCTCCCTTGTAAATTTCATGATTTAAATAAAAATTGACATGTATTGATTTTATTGAAAAGCATACATTATCCTTTAGCTAATGCAATATCTGTCAATTTTTGTGAAAGACTGGACAATTTAAGGATTGAAGCATCCCTAAGTAGACCTAAGAGGTTCCTTGAGGTACACTGCACATGTACATCAACAAAAGATGTGTTAAAAGTGATTTCATGGGTTGGAAGTATGATTCAGATGGTAAAGTGCCAGCCAATGAGCAAAAGCAGATACTGAGCTCAAACCCTGGTCTTGGACAAAAAAAAAAAAAAAGAAAAAAGAAAAAGTGGCATCGAAGTTTCACAAAGATTCTGTGCATGAAAATGTCATTCCCTGCTGATGAGACCATGGAAGAATCTGATGCAGAGTGGGATTTAAGCTTTCATTCAGTGTGTCAATACATGCCATTCTTCTACCTTATCCTTAAATCCAAGCTGTTAATATTCACTCTCTGTAACAGTGCTGTCCGATATGACAGTCACTGCCATATGTGACAACTAAGTATTCTGAATATATTAACTCACAATTGGTCATGTGTTTAAATAAAATTTCACTTTTAAAAATGAATTACAACTAGATGTTTTGGTCTATGCCTGTAAATCACAGCTACATAGGAGTTGGAGATAGCACATCATCAAGGATTGAGGCCAACCCAGTACAAGTTATAAAGACTCTCTTAAAAACAAGCAGGCTGTGTTGGTAGACACCTATAACTCCAGCTAACTGATAGGAAGACACAGAAGTACTACATTCCAAAGCTGGCTGGGTAAAAGCAGTATTGATAACAAAATGAAAAAAAAAGTCTAGAGGCATTGCAAATGGAAGGATCTGATTTTAATCCCCAATACTTCCAATTAAAAACGAAAAACAAAACTTAACCCCCCCTCCCAACCTGTAACATCACCAGTACTGTTATATCCCTCCCTACCTCCATTACTGTTCTAAATTTTAAGAATATTCTTATTTTTCCAAGGCATATCTGTATCCTTCCACAATGCATTATTTACTTTTGCTTACTGCTGGTTATTTCTTTCTTTCTTTTTTCTTTTTTGTGTGTGTGTGTGGGACTGGTCCAAGACTGGGACTCAAACTGGGTACCTAGGACCACAGTTTGAAGCCAGAATTGGCATAAAGTGTGAAAGACTGCATCTCCAATTAACTAGCAAAAAGCCAGCCTGGAAGCATGGCTCAAGTGGTAGTTTGCCATCAAGGAAGTTAAGCAAAAGAATTCAAACCTTAGTATCAGCAAAAACGACAACAAAGATAATCACATTTTAGGTAGGTAGAATTTTAGAAAAATGCCTGCTATATTCTAGGTGACATGAACATTCACTAGATTTTTTTTTAAGGATGCTTTTTGAATGTTAGTCATGTTTTGTTACTTGTTTCTGTGGTTAAAGGCATTTGTAATTCCTTAAAATAAATCAATCTGTGACTATAACACAATTTACTCATTTTACATGATAGATTTTGAAGTTGCTTCCTTTCTCCCTCCATGTTCTACAGATATTTCTTGTGTATGTTTCCTACAACCCACCCACCCAAACCCAAACCCAAGCCCAAACCCAAACCCACACCCACAGACAGAATTTCTAGAGGATACCCACCTTTCCACACCCAAATTCATTCCTGAGACCAAATTGGTAAGGTTCTAAGGTATAATTTATGCTTAATAGTGCCAACTCAACACTCCTTTTGCCAGTATATAAATTTCAACAGAAAAATAGTTTTGTGCTATCTTCTTATCATTAATCTTACTTTTAGGAAATATTGTTTAAAATGATATATCTTCATATCAATTTTCATTGCATGATTAGTGACATTCCAGTTTTTGCCCATTCTTGTCTTCTTGTTATTAGTTCTATTTTGTTTAAGATACAAGGATTTATTGCAGTACAACAGGAAATAGTGGAGAAAGATAGTGAATATTTCTGTTCTCATGCAGGAAATGGGAATCTAATTTCTTTTGAACATACTGTGGACACTGACTGATTTGTTATGTTTTATCTAGTCACTCTTCCATTCACAAAACACTCTTATCTCTTTATTATGATACTTAATCTTACTCTCACATAGGCATTGATGACCTTCTCATTATAAATCTTTAAACATTCTTGTTCTCCTCTAAGCCTTTCAATAGTATTTTAATCATTCCCTTCTTGGTTTTTACAGATTGAACTTCCATAACCTTTTAGTCCTTTGATTCTTCTCTGTCCTGATTTTCCATGGTCTGTCATGATATCTGCACAGTTAACATGTAATCTCTCTACAAAATCTTGGTTCTGTAGCGTCAGCTACTACCTAACTTGTCGTCTCTGATCTTTTAAATCTCTGTGTAAAACTGAGTTGCCAGATTTCATTTTTCAAATTAACAAGTTAAACCAATCATTTGTTCTGAAATATCTGCCATTCCAATTTCCTATGTTGGTTATTCACAGTACTCACTGCTTAAATTAGAAAGCCCCCAAAGTGCCCAAATTAAAAAGGTATTTACTACCTCATCTTTTTTTTTTTTGGGTCCGGTCGTGGGGCCTGAACTCTGGGCCTGGGTGCTGTCCCTCAGCTCTTCAGCTCAAGGCTAGCGCTCTACCACTTGAGCCACAGCGCCCACTTCCGGCTTTTTTCTTTTTGCTTATGTGGTACTGAGGAATCGAACCCAGGGCCTTGAGCATGCAAGGCAAACGCTCTACCACTGAGCCACCTTCCCAGCCCTCACTACCTCATCTTTTACCCAAGTTAAACTGGTGAATAAAAACAATCACTGAATGATGAACAATATATTCTATCAGAGGTTAGAGGCTGGCTGCCCATCTGTTCCAATACTTTTAAAATCAGGAAAAGAGCATAGGAAAAATCCAAATGACCATCTTTCCCTGAGAAATGGGAGTAACTTATAAAACTGTCTTCTAATCCTTC